GATACTTGAATGTTGGATTATTTGGAGCAAATGAGCTCCAAACCTATTTATAGGTGTTTCCACCTCCTTATAGGAAGTTTCTAGATCTACATACATTCATGGCTATTCTAGAACTATCTACCATATTCTATATCTATTACAAGCTTTTATATGTTTCTAGAATGTTCTATAGTGTCCTAGATAAGTATAGACATTCTTGTGTCTTCCATAGTGTTCTAGAATGTTCCATAGCCTTCCAGGGTCTTCCATCTTGTTCTAGAGTATTCTAGAATCTTCCGGCATCTTCAACACTCCTCCATAGTATTCCATAATATTCTAGAATCTTCCAGATCATTCTAGAACATGCTAACTTCTTCTAGACAATAACATGATTCTATTGGGCTAGTGATGACCTTCAACACTCCCCCTCAGCACTAGCCCCCATTCTTCGTATCATGTTGAGTTGACATCTAAATCTTCACTTTTTCCTTTACTCAGCCCTTCGGTGAATAATTCCACTATTTGTTTATCAGTCTTGATCTGTCGCATATTGACTTCTTCCTTGAGAACTTTTTCTCTTCCACATGCTTGGTTTTTTCTTAGTTGTTGCAGTCGTTGCTTCGTGTATTGTTTTCGTAGTTGACAACAACATTCGTGGTTGCATTTTCTAGCAGCATAATATTGTTCCTGACTTTGTTGAACTATCTTGTGTAGTTTCTTATGCCTCCCTTTGAGAAACTTGTAAGCATGTGAGTTGTCCCTTTTACAAGCCTTGGAAAATTCCCACAATATTAACATGTTATGACGTGATCCCTTATTGATCTGCTCATCTCGTTTAGATGTTGCTCTGTTGAGAAATTCTACTTTGCTCTTCCGAATTAATGTGTTTTCCTTCTTTTTCGCCTTATCTAGTTTCTCCATCACATGTACCATTTTTCGTCTAAGATGAGACTTTTTATGCAACTCTGGTGATGTCATGTTATTATTCTCCTTTGGAGCATCCATCTTCGAATGAACATCTTCCTCCTTCAAGGTTGTCATAAACTTTGTCTCGCTCTTCTTGATACGTTTGTCGAGTTTCATAGTTGATAGCATTCGGGATCCAATCATATTTCTCTTCAAGGGTACAATGTGAATTATTGAACCCTTAGTGATACGCATGGTATCATCTCTCTCAAATGACCAGGGTCGTACGTTGTCTAGGAAATCCATTCCCAATACCATACGATAGTCATCCATATGCACCACTGTCAAGTTTATGGTGCCTTCCCATTCTGCTATCTTAAGAGGTACTCCATATGCAACACCAATGATAGGCTTGGATAAAGAGTTGATGACTTTCAACCGGCCTGGATTTTTGGTGTATTTGATGCCCAACTTTTTAGCTTCATCTTTAGCAAGGAAATTATAGGATGCACTTGTATCTACCAATGCCTTGGTGTATCCTCCATTTACCCTGGCATCCACGAACATTAGCCTTCCTCTTTTAGTCTTATTCTCTTCTATAGCAGATAGTGCCTCAGCATCCCATTCATCCTCTACTTCCTTTTTGGAAGTTACTACATTGTTTTCCACAGACTTTTTCTTTGACCAACAATCCTTGGATATGTGGCCCCACTTTCCACAATTGTTGCAGTTGCCTTCGAACCTCCTCCCCCGAGAACTCTTATTGTCGGTCTTTTGAGATCTCCATGGTTGTGAGGTTCCTTGCTGACTCTTCCCTTTGTCAGCATTTTTGTATCCTTCTTTAGAAGGTGGCTTGAAATTCCTTCGACTTTTACTTGTGCAGAGTGCTTCTTCTTCACTTTTCAACGTGATGCCTCCCATTTGCTTAGCCATAGCTTCTTGGCTGGCCAACAAATTCTCAAACTCTACAAGTGATGGCTGAACGGGCCATCCTTGTACAACAGTAACAAAGCTTCTATATTCCGGCCTTAGTCCATGGATAATGATCCTCTTCATTCGAGCTTCTGCAATGACGGATTGCGGATCTAGTTCAGTAATCTCCTGACATATTGACTTGACCTTGTGGAAATATTGAGCAATCGTCATGTCACGTTGTGAGATTGATAATAGCTCGTTCTCCAAAAGTTGTAGTCTCGTATCATTCTTCTTTGAGAAAAGCGTCACAAACGTGACCCAAGCTTCTTTTGGGGTGTTCTCATCTCGAATATGCTCCAACATCTCTTCTTCGATTGTGGTCTTCAAGGCAAACATTGCTTTGCCTGCTTTGATTTTCCATTTTCGCAAAGCACCATTAACGTCTTCCTCTGGTGGCATAGTTTCGCTTCCACCAATGACCTCCCACAGATCTTGTCCTTGTAAGTAGGACTTCATACATGTTTCCCACGTTTTGTAGTTGTTATTGTTGAGTTTCTTGATTCCTCCGAAGACTTGGAGATCACCCATCGTGTTGGCAGTACCTCGGTAATACCAAATAAGCTAGTTTCGACACTAAACTTGCAGAGTCACAAACTACTCACGATACAACGAGAATCACTTGTTCTCACTATCAAGAAACTTCGCTCTGATACCAGATTGTTGAACACGACTCTTTTATATGGGAAACAACAAGACTTTAATTAAGACACTTAAGAAGACCTTACACTTTGTGAGACTACTACACATTTTTCTCTCTTTGAGGCTTTCTTGGATACTTGGATGTTGGATTATTTGGAGCAAATGAACTCCACACCTATTTATAGGTGTTTCCACCTCCTTATAGGAAGTTTCTAGATCTACATACATTCATGGCTATTCTAGAACTATCTACCATATTCTATATCTATTACAAGCTTTTATATGTTTCTAGAATGTTCTATAGTGTCCTAGATAAGTATAGACATTCTTGTGTCTTCCATAGTGTTCTAGAATGTTCCATAGCCTTCCAGGGTCTTCCATCTTGTTCTAGAGTATTCTAGAATCTTCCGGCATCTCCAACACTCCTCCATAGTATTCCATAATATTCTAGAATCTTCCGGATCATTCTAGAACATGCTAACTTCTTCTAGACAATAACATGATTCTATTGGGCTAGTGATGACCTTCAACATTTTCCACTTTCAGACTACTTTTAAATCATGTCTTGATATAATATGCACCACATAAGCAATGTTGAAAGCGAGTAGATACAAGGAAAAGCACAATCTTATTTGTAAGAGTTGATTACATGTTATATGGCAACAACCTAATAATGTTCCATAAACAACTTCCACACAAGCCTCATCAGGTACAGAAAAAAAAATACAAAAAACACATGTCAAAAACTAAGAAATTGTTAATCATGTAGACTAAGCAGAAAATAAACAAAATTAAAACCCTAATGTTGAGGGAAAAACATGAAACAAATACAGGCAATAAGACCCAAGTAAGAAGCTCAGCGATTTTATTGAAGATAATGAATCAAAATCATTTTAAAAAAAAATGGTATTAAAGGCGGAGACACGAGATTATAAAATTTATGTGTTATGAAGAATAAGACCTTTATTCCTTTTTGTTGCAAATGAGATGAGCAAGAACAGACCTTTGTTGTAGATGTGATGATTATGAAGAGATACAAATGAGAATGACAGCAAGAAGAAGCCAAAAGATGAAGATTTTGGTGCACCTTTTTTGTTGGTAGCATACGACCTTAATGACCTTATCACTAGCTGATTTAAACATTAACACATATAATCATCAAAAAGTAATTTAAGCCTCAACGTTACAACCAATTTTGTATTAATCTTCATATAATCTAAATTCTTATTAAAACACATAAACCACACAATGTTGTCTAAAAAAAATAGAAAATATTTTACACCTAAATAATCAAAACAATAAAACAAACAAAATCCTACAAACCTGAGCGGTTAAAGAAGCCTAAATTGAAATTATACTTGCCTAAAAGTTAAAGCATTTAAATAAAAAATCCTAGTTACCAGAATCAAGAGGAAAGAATGGATTGAAGTTCTTTCGTCACCTCTAAAGTTTCCGAATCTTATATGGTTTCCTCAAACACATCTCCATAAGTCTAAAGGTATCCTATGAAGCCCCTAAAGGGTCAAAATCAGATATATAAATTCAATTACCGGCTTTATTATCAATATAGAAAAAAAAATAGAAAAAAAGCAACAATTTCATTTCTAATAGCCAAATGAAGAGACCCTAATCTTGATGTTTATGGATTGTGACGTCATGTTGAGAGAAACTGTAAAGATGAAGAAAAAAGTTTGCAACCATGGTTATAGGAATTGATGACGAGATGATTTTGCTTCGAGACCTTAGCTTCCTACAAAAATAGATATGTAATTGTTTATTGATAAAACGAAACCGAGAAAAATTAGGAAACTTCAGAGCGTCGAAATGAGCGGGATTTGTCCCAAACTAACTTTGACGTATACCACATGGCAAAATTAGTTTTATTTATTAGATTAGAGAATATATATATATATATATATATATATATATATATATATATATATATATATATATATATATATATATGTTCAGGTTCATTTGATACCATTTTAATTTTGTGAGACCGTGAGACCAAATCTAAAAATAATTTTAAAATGTAAAATAAATGGAAAAATCCAAAAATTCTTTTTTTAAATATTATTTTCGGAACTTGAATTAACTAAAAAAAATAAAAAAAAATTCGTTTTTATTTTTTGAAAAATACGTGAAATATTCTAAATAGAATATTACACTGACATATTCTAAAAAATAATTTTAAAATGCAAAATAAATGGAAAAATCTAAAAATTATTTTTTTAAATATTATTTTCGGAACTTGAATTAACTAAAAAAAATATAAAAAAAAATAAAAAAAAGACAAAACTTCAAAAATGGTCCCTGTGGTTTCCAGAAATATCAAGTTTAGTCCCTAAGTTCAAAAAACCTCACAGATGGTCCCTGTGGTTTCAAAACTTTTAACAAATGGTCCCTCCGGCTCACTCCGTTAGCATTTCACCGTTAACTCATTTTTTAATAAAATATTGCAGGGGTAATTTCGTCATTTCAGTTGTAACCTCCTCTCTTTAAAAGAAATTGCATGTCCGATTTTTGGGCAAATCCTTTAGCTTCATCAGTCGATCATCTCTCCTCCTTTCCACTGTTGCTCGACCGTTGTACCCTTCACGACATCCAATCGCTTCTGATTCAAAGATGGTGACTTGCAGATGTGGGAATGAAGCAACGAAGATCACTTCATGGACGGATCGTAACCCTGGAAGGTAATTTTGGAACTGTAAAAGATGTGGTTTCATTCGATGGTCTGATCCCCCTATGTGTGCTAGGGCATTGGTGGTGATTCCAGGTTTGATAAGATCAAAGAATCGATTGGAGGAGAGGGTCGCCATTGTAACTGCAGAATTGTGGAACTACCAGCTGATGTTGTTTTGTTCATGGGTGTTTTTTTTTGGTATTATTTTAATCTCTAAATATCTTCTTAAGGTTTGGATGGTAATGGAGTTTTGGTTTTTGGTTTGTAACCATTGCAGGGGTTTTTTTTTTTTTAATCGGATAGGGGTTTTTTTGCTTTCAGTTTATGTAGGTGGTTTTGGAATTGGTGGTGTTGTATTTGGTTTATGTATCAGATTAATGTGTAATGCAGTGGTAATGGTAATGGTAATGGAATGTAGTTTGTTATAGTTCATTGTTCAATTTCTTGAATGTTTTTGAAATGTAATTGTTAAGTGTATTGTAATTGCATCTTGAAGATGGTTTTCATTTGCAATTGAAATGTACATTGTTATTAATTGATCTGTGAAGTGAAGGGTAGTACACAAAACATATTAATTCATCACCAAAAAGTGCATACACACCATTACATTCAAAGTTATAAAGTTCTTAACACAACCATGATCCAAAAAGTGCATACACACCATTACATGCAAAGTTTTCAAGTTCTTAACACATCTTCAAACAAGTACACATTACATAAGTTTCTAAATACCTACAACACCAACATCCTAATAACCACTAAAAAGTCAATTTTCAGCCTCCTCCAACTTCACCACTGCCTCCCTGCCCTTTACATGTTCTGGAATTGTGCCCTTTGTTATGACACTTTGAACAAGTGACTGCCAAATATTTCCTGCTCAATCTACCAGCTTGGCTGTTTGGCTCATCAACACCCCTTCTTCTCTTCTTCTTAGGCCTCCCAACCTACACATGTTGATATACTATAGTTAAAATTGAATTCATTCCATGTTCACATGTATACTATATATTTTGTGTACTTTAAATACAAACCTGTGTCTTATGTTTTGGTGGAAGTAAAGTGAATGGGCAGTCACTTTTAGGCCACATTGTACGTCCATTCAATGGATCAATTTTGTTGAAATACATGGCTTTCCATGTTGATAACCTATAGCAAGGATGGACCCATTCATCAACATGTGGGGCATTTTCACCATTTTCAATTTTGTCCCATATAGCACAAACAGCATGTCTACATGGGAAACCTGTAATCTCCCAAAACCTACAACTGCAACTGTGATCATTCAAATTTACCACATATTGGTCTTGCCATGTGCTTGCCACTTGGTACTTCCCTGCCCCATTGTATTTAGCCACATACTTTGATGCATCAGCCTTAATCTTTTCAAACAGTGTAGTTGCAGTAGGGGTTAGAAGTCCTTCACACTTATCTATTTCCTTTTGCACCACACATAACCTCTTCATGAGATACTCTCTAATATACTCTAAGCAAGTGATAATAGGTTTATCCCTACCTTCATCTAGCTTTGAATTGAATACCTCACAAAGGTTATTCAACAAACAATCAGTATGTGCCCTTCCTGAATAATATATATTAACAGAAGACAATTACACATATAGTAAACACACAAAAGGGAAGATTAACAATTCTCAATAAATTTCTAGAAACTTACCACTAAAGTGAGATTTAGCCCAAGTGTTTGCTGGGATCTTAGACACCCAAGCATGAGCCTCTGCATTGATCTTCTTCAACTCATCCATTGCTCTGTTAAAATGATTGACTGTTGTTGCTCTACCACACTCCCAAAGCTGGTCACTTAAGTCTTTTCCTTTCCATTGCTTCTTCATGTTTTCCTGGATATGCCTCAAACAGAACCTGTGTTCTGCACTAGGGAATACTTTCTCCATTGCTGGTATTATTCCCTAAACAAAAGTCAATGTAATCAACATTAGTTAACCAAATGTATTTAGTAAAGGTAATAAAAAAGTTAGGTGGTACACACCTTTTGTCTATCTGAAATGAAGGTAAAGTTTGAATTTGGTCCCAGATCCAGATCTTCTCCTAACAGTTCCAAGAACCAGGTCCAGCTACTTGTTGATTCTGTCTCTACCACTGCATATGCTACAGGGTATATGCCATTGTTTGAGTCCAACCCTACAGCAGTTAACACTTGCCCAGGGTAAGGGCCCTTCATGAAAGTACCATCCAGACCTAGAAAATCTCTTAATCCAGATTTGAATCCTAACTTCAATGCACCTAAACAGACATATATTCTTCTAAAAGTTCTTGTGGTAACAGACAGGGAGGTTTCTGGATACACATCAATCCTAACTGTTGTACCAGGATTAGTGTTGAGTAGCTCCAACACATAATCCCTCAAAAATCCATACTGTACTTGGTAGTCCCCACTAATGATACGCTCAGCCATTGACTTTGCCCTAGCGACCTTTTGCAATGACATTCCTACCTCCAGTTTCTTGCACAACTCTTCGTGTAAAGCTTTCACTGGAATTTTAGGGTTACTCTGTATTTGTTGAACAATTAAGTTTGCTACGTATCTGGAAGTGCAAGCTTTAACCGCCCTTGTTTGCAAACATTTATGCTCATCCTGTACTGTTTTCACCAACCAATCCTGATTTTCATTAGCCCTCGATATTTGGACTGCCCATGGACATGTACCTTTATTGGCAATTACATCTTTACCCTTGCACTTTGCCCTACTTCTGGTTGAGGGCCCACCACTATCAACTCCTGTAGAAGGCTTACTTACAACACCTTTACATTTCACCCTAATCCGGATTTTGTCATTTTTGGCTAGGTATAAAGACCTCCTTGTTGCTACAGCATGTGAGTTCATGTAGTTTTTAACATCAACCTTGGTTTTGAAGACCTGACCAATCTGAAATGGTTTAACATGAACCTCTCCATGTGAGCATGTACTTGACTTACTCAACTCTTTTAGCAGTCTCTTCCTATCATCTTCATGAAATCCTGCAAATTGATAATCATCAGTGGCAATAACTTCCAACTCATTATCAAAGTCAACCACTCCAATCCCATCATCTTTTGAATGATTGTTCAAGATTCCATGTTCATCTACATCAACAGCATTATGGAATTCACTCATGTCTACATCTACATCAAATTGTATGTTAGACTCATCCACATTGTATTCACTGTCATCAGAATCATCTCCACTATCCTCAGAACCATGGCCACTCTCAGAGTAGAAAGCATCTCCACTATCATCACTCACCATACCCTCTAGATAATCCACTTCTGGTTGTTTTTCAAATGAAGTTTGAACATTAAACTCAGCATCATAATCAGCATAAAGTGAGTAATCCTCTACAAATGGTTCATAGTCATCAACTGTTGTAGTATTAGCTCCATTATCAGCTTGGCAGCTTGGTTCCTGTACATGGTAAGTTCCCAATTGTTCTTCAGTTTCAACTGCACTAGTGATCACTTCTTCTTGAGTTTCAATTTCATGATTCACCACTTCCTTTTGAATGACATGACTTTCTTTACCTTGTGACCTTATAAATGGTACAATACTCTTTGAGTAATCATGGCCTTCATCAACATCTAACACTTGTGACTGCTCATAATCAGGGTTCATAGACTTGTTTAGATCAAGCTTTCTACTACATGAGCCTGCTTCTCTCCTACAAGGTTTCTTTCTATTCATTTCAGGTGACACACTATCAGGCTCCAACTCTTCAATAACAACTTTAGAAGGAGACTTGTAATAACTACCTACCCTTGTCTGACCAGTTTCAATATACACCCTAATAAGTCTGTGTTTAGGGACATATGATACCATTTTAAGTACATCTTGATCATTACCTAAAGGCATTAAGCCATAGTCCAAAGGGTATTCAGGGATACAGAAATGGTAGTAAAGGGTTTGCTCAGTTTTGTACCCTAGTTCTCGAACCATGTCGTCAAGATCATGAACTGAAAATAAATCAGTGTCAACATAATCTACATATGCTACAACACCATCAACGTATTTCCTTCCAGGTGCTTTGGTGAAGACACCACTGTAGTGTATCTTCAACGTGAAATAGTTCTCATAACCTTCTGTAAACACAAAAAAAGAAAGAGTAAAATCAATGATTTCCTTACGTCAACACAATAGACCAAGAAAAAACAAGTTTTGTTGTAGTATTGTACCGTATGTTTTTCCTAAGTCCTCCACGGTTACAAATTTTTCTCGAAAACACCATATTGATAGCACCATTGCAATTTCTGCAGCTTAAAACCCTAAATCCCAATTTCTGTTCTTGCTTCTTCGATGGGAATGAACCCGATGACTAAACCTGTAACTGGTTATCTTCTTGGGAGAGGGACGGGTAGTGATGTGCAAGCAAGTAATCATTTCATATTAAAGAGAGGAGGTTACAACTGAAATGACGAAATTACCCCTGCAATATTTTATTAAAAAATGAGTTAACGGTGAAATGCTAACGGAGTGAGCCGGAGGGACCATTTGTTAAAAGTTTTGAAACCATAGGGACCATCTGTGAGGTTTTTTGAACTTAGGGACTAAACTTGATATTTCTGGAAACCACAGGGACCATTTTTGAAGTTTTGTCTAAAAAAAAAATTCTATTTTTTTTGAAAAATACGTGAAATATTCTAAATAGAATATTACAATGTACATATTCTAAAAATAATT